CGCTCCCCTCAGGGCCGTGCGCGGGAGCAGCGCGCGGACACCGCCACGTCTCGCGGCCACGTCTCGCGCCCGRCCGCCTCTCGCGCAGCAAGTGCGCACGCGCAGCGGGAGGGGCGGGGCAGCGCGGTCACGGATAGGCGCGTTCTGATTGGTCCGTGGCGGTGACGCACGAGGGAGTAGGCGGGACCAGGGAGCGGAGCGCGCGGTGATTGGCTGGCGGCCGTGACGCGCGCGGCGGGGCGGAAGTGGCGGCTTCGACCATGGTACGGGACAGGGAGAGGGGGCTTGGGCATGGGATATAGGATCGGGATCGGGATCGGGATCGGGGCATTGGGATCGGGATCGGGAGCGGGAGCGGGAGCGGCATCCCGACCGGGACCGGGGCATCGCTCATAGCACCGGGATCCCGGGACCTGGCTCGGGATTAGGAGCGGGATCGGAGCGGGGGCCTAGGCATGGATTGTAGGATCGGTACCGGGACGGAGTGAGGGCCTGGCCTTGGGCCCGGCTCTGGCCATCTGCGGGACACAGAGGCGCTTTCTGCCGTCACAGGCCGTTCATACCAAGAGCCCCCGTTCGGTTCCACAGCCGGTGCCCAGCGGTGTTTCACACACACCCACACACACACACACACACACACACACACAGACTGATTCGGGGGGCTCCAAGGGTCTCCCTTTGCAGCACTGTTTATATGTCGGGTCGCAGGTGATGGCTTTTGTCAGAGCAGTTCTCCATGCCGGCCGCAGTTTCGGGCAGTGGCTCTCTTGGAAGGCTCAGGAACTAAACCATTGTCACACCTGGGTTGTTATCAGGCAAGAAGAACAAGTGTCAAGTGCTGTTGGTTCAGTCCAGCTGCTCGCTACACACCTGGGAGCAGTCRGTGTTTCTGATCAGCTCAGTGGGGTGCAGCTCCCCAAAACCGAGAACTTGTGACCATTACTCACTCCACAGTGTAGGCATGTATGATTGAATCTTCATGTCCTTCCCAAATTAATTTTGATCCYGAGGTGCCTCTGTTGTTTTCTGGGTAATCAGCACTGTCCCAGCTGAAGCTGAAGTCCATTTTTCTCATGGAACTCTTTGCTCCTTGCTTTAGGACAGCAGTGATGACATTGAGGATGTGTCTCTCTTTGATGCAGATGATGATGTATCCAGGAGATCCAAAAAGTCAAAAATAAGGTCAGTAGTGTCAGAGGGAGTTTCTGGGTGAGCTCC